GGTTTTAGGCAGACACTTTAATTGAACTGACACAAGTTTCTGGTCAGAGAATACCGTATGGAACAGATTTGAATTGCATACCATATTTGGACAAAGACAGAATGTTTTGGTTTCCTTAAGTACTCCAAGTTAGAGGTATGAAGAGGTAGCATCTTCTGTGATAATGCTATGCACTTGCCCTAATTTCATGTGTTTTAAAGCACTCTCATGTTTAGCTTTCATTTAATTCTGAAGATGTCTATGTTACTACTTTAATTTTTAGGTACAATTTGAGTAAGAACAGTGATGAGATAATTGAACTCTCTTTAGGGATAGCTTCCTTTACTAAATATACATTTTTTGCAAATGAAGAGAGAAAGCTCTGAATCATTGCACGTCCTGACATCCTCCGGAGACTAAGAAACACAGCGGAGGGAGAATCAAATGTACTGTGGATTACCACTATCTACCATGATCCCATAGCACTGTTACAACAGCTGATGAAGGCAGGGGAGGAGGGAGTCAGGAATGACACCCTTCCAAGAAACTACAATTTGAGAGATTTTTAAGGAGTGTATTAAGATATATAAAAACTTAAAAAGGAAGCAACATTGGCTAATTCTCAAGGAAAAGAAAATTATGAAGTACTTCTAATTCTGATATTAAATGTGTAAAAGTCCATCACCTGCCACCAGCAAAAACTGATTCCTTCACACTTCTCTAACCCACACTCCGGACTGCATCATCTTTTTTTTTTTTTTTTTTTTTTTGAGATAGAGTCTCTCTCTGTCACCAGGCTGGAGTGCAGTGGCACGATCTCAGCTCACTGCAACCTCCGCTTCCTGGGTTCAAGCGATTCTCCTGTCTCAGCCTCCCGAGTAGCTGGGATTTCAGGCACGTACCAACACGTCTGGCTAATTTTTGTGTTTTTAGTAGAGACAGGGTTTCACCATGTTGGCCACTATGGTCTCTATCTCTTGACCTCGTGATCCTCCCGCCTCGGCCTTTCAAAGTGCTGGGATTACAGGCGTGAGCCACTGCGCCTGTCCCGCGACTGCATCTTCTTTTCCTCTTTTGGCAAGTCCAAGCAATCTTTCTTACATTACATTTGATGTAGAAACTGTACTTAAACTCTTCATTTATGTAATGATATACAGCATTTGGATCCCTATCAGCATTTCTCCCACTGTCCTACATGCTTTGCAAATACTCTAATCCTCACACTAACCCACTGAATTGTGCACTTTTACTGCATATATTTGACAAATGAGGAACTGGTGGGACAGACACTAAGTAACCCGCACAAGGTCACAGAGCTGCTAAGTGGCAATCAGAATTCAATCCCTGCCATCTGAATGGAGCCCTTCAGGGCTGGCTACAGAGTCTCTCTTTGTATACAGTACTACACTCTGCTGCCTAACATTTTTTACATTTACTAGTAAATATCTGCCCTTATGGTCTCTGATGACAATTTGTCTTTTCTCTCCTGAAATGCCATCTCTTTTCGGTATATGTAGTTTATGACTACTGACACGTTATTATAGAACAGTTCCATTTTAGAGACTACTAAACTCTAAGACATAGAAATATGTTTTTCCCAGATTTGAAGACAGTAAAATCAGGGACTCTTTCTCTCCAAATTTTTATTTCCATTTTCTTAAATGCTACTTTAAAAAAAAAAGGTTTAATTTTCAAAAAGGGTATTTTGCCGATATCCTAACAACTATTAAAATAACCACTGTGAATTTAAGTAAGACTAATGTTTAATTTATGTTAGTATGGTAACCTCTCTGAAAACGAAAACTAAAACAATAACAAACTGTACTTTAAAAAACTTCCAGTAATCAAGACAGAAGCGTGGAAATATGCCTCTTCATGGTTCGTTAAGGCAAAGGTATTTTTTTCCCCTTCCAAATTAATTCTGTGGAGTGGTTTTAATTTCTGAATTCAAAAGGCAGTTATAATTAATGGGAAGAGAAATGGCAGAAGAGGCAGGAAAGACATTAAGCACCAGGAGTGAAGGAATAAGTGAAAAGAAGAGGACAGAATATGCTTTCATAGTGGAACACTGTTGATTGATGACTTAAAACCAATATTCCAAAGGGATTAAGGTCAGGATTAGGACCTTTATATGCTGATTGAGGTTCCGATTTCAGCTCCTAACAGTGGTTGACTCCAACTGAGAGCGCTTATTTAAAACGATCCTTTACTAAAAGAGCTTCAAATTATCTTACGAGTGCTTTTAAAAAAGATATTTCTAAATTTTTTTGTAAAATATTCTGTCTTTGCTTAAGAAACTCTTCCCATTTTTTTAAAGATCAACTTAGAAACTAAACTAAGGTTCTAAAAATACTGACAGATAACATTAATGCATGCCAAGAAGGTAAGGACAGGAGAGCTGATGTTCGCAGAGCACCACTGCATGCCAGGCACTGTTCCAGGAAGCTGACGGAGACCTTATCTATTTGTTCACCATCACATTTTGGCACCTTCCAAGTACCACCGGGTGCAGTGCAAGCACTCAGCTAACGTCTGCTGAGTGGTTAGTTAACAAGTGGGGCAATCTGTACAACTCAGAATTCAACTACAGTGACCTTTTAATTCCCATGAATTTATTTTTCCGTATTAGAGAAAAAAAATCTGACTTCTAAGGCCAAGCTACCAAAAATTCTATGTGGCTAATTCACATCAGATTTCATTCTGAAAATCTCGTATATTACTATCAGTTATTTGCTTAATGCAAAACGTATTTTTTCAATTAATGTTTTATGGATCCTTCATATAAATTAGGATACAAAAAAACCGTGGCGCCTTAAAAATCCTCTATACTGTTAACAGCAGGGAATTGCTACCACACAGCCTATAATCCCCTTAGCAGCGTGCCTGAAATTCTTCCAGATTCTGTCAAGCTTCAAAACTCAACAGCACCACCCACAAACCAACTTTTACTTGCCCATTCCCAGGCCTTCTAATATGCATTCCCCCAGCCCAGGTCCCCCAACCTGGAACTAATGTTTAAAATTCTCGAGGCTCGTGGGACCATTTAGCTGCACCTCAGTTAACAAATACCACTTAAAGCCCACCGACCTCTTCCCCCTAGGACCTTGGGGCAATTTCATGACCTTGCAGGGTTACAGTTTCAGCAAGTGGTTTCAAGGCAGTGCTAGGTGTCCTTCCCTTCCCCGCCCTCAGACAGATCTGTACGGTCCCTTCTGCACCAAGACCACCCTCAGGGGCATCTAGGATGTTTGCCTTTGCTGTTCCAGCACCCAGCAAAGCGTCTGCAACACGGGAGGTGCTCGACGGCCGCGCTCTCTGACTCGATCGAATCTTAAAGGGTCACTGTGTCCAGCACTGGAGGGTTTCAAAGGGCGTCAAGGACAAAAAGCACAACTTAACATTTCCCCTGGGCTATCGCTCAGGCTCCCGACACCTCGCGGGCCCTGCGACTGGGGGCCTGGCTCGCAGTGGAAGCTCAGGAAGTGTGGATTAGCTGAGGGAACTCAAGACCGCCTAGACGTCAATTTGGACTCAGGCCGCAATCCCGAGGTCCCAGGTGGCCCTCCGGCCTCAGGGGACCGGGCGGGACCTTGCTCCGTCGGAGCCGGGCCCTGCGCACGCCTCGCCGGCCTCGGAGCCGCTTCCTGCAGCCCCCGCTACCCGGCGCTTCCGAGGGGCCAGGGGCCCAGTCAGGCCCTGCGACCCCAGATCTGGTCCTGCGCCCATCTCCTCCTCCCTGCCCCGTGCCCAAGCTCTTCCATCCCTTGCGGTCCTGCCGATCTTCCCGCAAGTTGCCATACCATTGAGGCTGCAAGGTCCAGGCCGACAGCCCAGCTACGCCCGCGCGAGAGAACATGGTAGCCCCAGCCCTACTGAAGGTCGGTCAGGCAGGCCTCAGCGCGCATGCGCAGAAGCCTCCTAGCGCGCCCCTCCCAGCTCGCTCTCTCCTTCAGTCTCGTTTCCTCGCGCTACGGTGAGGGGAGTCTCGCGAGCGTTGCAACCCAGTCTTCCCAGGCCCCACCTCTTTTCGCCTCTCAGCTGGGATTTGTCCCGCCCACCGCCGCCAGCCAAGTTCCGTTTCCGGCTTGCTGGGCACTAGGGTCCAGAAAGTGACCGCTGCCGTGGTCGCCATGGGGAAGTCGGATTTTCTTACTCCCAAGGCTATCGCCAACAGGATCAAGTCCAAGGGCCTGCAGAAGCTACGCTGGTATTGCCAGATGTGCCAGAAGCAGTGCCGGGACGAGGTGAGTGGGCCCGGAGTGGCCCCGTCTTCCCAGGAGGGCCCCTGGGAATCCAGGATCAGGTCCTGGACGCGGGACTGAGGGCGCGGGGCCGGGGCTCCTGGGATCCGGGTCGTGAGGCTTCTGAGGTCTGCACTGGGCGAGTCAACTACTCAGCGCACTAGAGCCGTCCCTCCCCGCAGCCCGCGGGGCCAGCGGGCAGCCTGTGTTCTGCGACCCCTCATTCCTCCCTAGTTCCGATCCCCACCATCAAAGAAACGACATCAGAAAAGGTTTTGCAGCCCTCACAGGGGCGGGGATACTGCAATACTAGATGCCCGGGCAATGCCAGTAACAGTCATCAGCTCTGACTTGACTTGGCTCTTAAGAGAAACAGGGTGGTTAGGATTCACACCTCTTTTGGGATCAGTTGAAAAAGGAGAGCTAAGCTCTTCCACACAACTCATCTAGCAAGCATTTATTGAGAACCTACACTGTACCGGGCACTGAATAATACTGTGGTTAAGATTATGGATTTATCTGGTTTATGGATATATCAGACTGTCAAAATTTAAAGTCAAGCTGGGCCACTTACCAACCATGTGGTCTTGGTCAAGTTATTTACTTATATTCTCCTTTACTTATCTCTAAAGAGGGAATAATAATTTCACCTACTTGTAGGATTGTCGTTGAGTTTTAAATGAGTGAAGTATATATAGAGTGGCTCAAGGAGTCTGGGCAGATCTTGAAAAGCCTTATATGCTGCACTATGGAATTTACGCTTTTCCCCATTAAAGAGGTGGTTGATGGAATGCTGTGCAGGCTAGCGATGTGATCATAATTTTCTCCGAGGATCGGACTGGATTGGGTAAGGGTGGAAGAACACTGAGGCAATTGGAATAATCTAATCCAGTGTTTCTACAAGTGAACGAAGAGATATTTTAGGTGGGACTCATACTGACTAACATTGATACAGTTATTCTCTTTAGTTCTGTTAATGAATACCTGTATATCCATTATCTAATGTCTTAGTCTGCTTGGACTGCCATATAAAGTGCAATAGATTGGGTGGTTCAAATGACAGAAATTTATTTCTCACAGTTTCGGGGGCTGGGAAGTTCAAGATCAAGGTGCTGGCATGGTCAGATTCTAGTGAGGGTCCTCTTCTTGGTTTGCAGAAACTGCCTCTATCCTCACAAAGCAGATAGAGCAAGCTCTAGTAGACACTTCTCTTCCTCTTTTTTTTTTTTTTTTTTTTTTTTTAAGATAGGGTCCCACCCTGTTCATCATGCAGGCTCTACCCTTGTGACCTCATCTAAACCCGGTCACCTCCAAAGGCCCACCTCCTAATGCCATCCCCTTGGGGGTTAGGGTTCAACATATGAACTTTGAGGGGGACACAAACATGCAGTCAGTAACACCCAGACTTAACACTTTAAGTAATCTTGCCATGTTTAATTTATAAAAAATATTTTAAAGTAAATTACCAATATCAAGATATTTCACCTCTAAATACTTAAATAGACATCTCTAAAATTTCAGGATTCTTTTCTATATAACCACAATATATGTAATCAACATAACAAAATTAATAGAAGTTCCTCTTTATCTAATACACATTCACACTTCCTCAGTTGTCCTCCAACTGCTTCTTGAAATCAAGATTCAATCAAAAGTCATGGACTGTTACAGATTTGGTTATTAGGACCCCCACCCCCCGAGTCTCCCTCATTATCAGCATCCTGCAACAGGCTGTTATATTTGTTACCGTGGATGAAACTACATTGACACATCAGTATCATCCAGAATCCATAGTTTACGTTAGGGTTCACTGTTGGTGTTTTATATCCTATGGGTTTTGACAAATGCATAATGATATGTATTCACCATTATAAAATCTCACAAAATAGTTTAACTGCCCAAAAAGTTATCTGTGCTCTGAGTTATTAGGACTTTTAGTTTTCTCCAAATTTAATTCTGTCTATATTCTGAATTTAGAATATAACCCATTTTCTCTCCACCCCTTTTTCTTTTTTTTTTTCCAGACAGAGACTTGCCTGTCTCACAGGCTGGAATGCAGTGATGCGATCTCACTCACTGCAGCCTCTGCCCCCCGGGTTCAAGTGATTCTCATGCCTCAGCCTCCCAAGTCAATGGGATTACAGTCACCTGGCACCACGCCTGGCTAATGTTTGTATTTTGGTAGAGGCAAGGTTTTGCCACGTTGGCCAGGCTGGTCTCAAACTCCTGTCCTCAGGTGATTCACCTGCCTCGGCCTCCCAAAGTGCTGGGATTACAGGCGTGAGCCACCGCGCCTAGCCTTCTTTTTCTTGACATTGACTTGTTGAAGAGAGGAGGCCAGGCTATTGTCCTGTAACATCCCATGTGTGTTGACTTGTTTCCTCTGATTGTCTTTTGCCTTCTAACTCGTAGTTTCTGTCAACTGGAAATTATATCTAAAAGCTTTGATTGGGTTAGGTTAAACATTTTGGGGAGAAAGAATACTTTGTAGGTGATCTTGATTGATTAATTTCAGGTTAAACACTTGCGGGGAGGAATATAGTTTTTTTTGTTTTTTGTTTTTTGTTTTGTTTTTGTTTTTGTTTTTGTTTTGAGACAAGGTCTCAATCGGTAGCCCAGGCTGGAGTACAGTGGCACGATCATGGCTCACTGCAACCTTGACCTTCCCAGCTCAAGCAATCCTTCTCCTGTCTCAGCCTCTCAAATAGCTGGGACCACAGGTACATGCCACCCATGCCTAATGAACTTTTTTATTTGTATTGACATAGGGTCTCACCATGTTGCCCAGGCTGGTCTCAAGCTCCTGAACGCAAGCAGCCCTCCTGCCTCGGCCTCCCAAAGTGCTGGGATTACAGGTTCAAGCCACCATGCCCAGCCTATAGTATTCGTTATAGGTGATCTTGTATATTTCATATAGCATCACATAAGGAAGCCAATAATGTTTGGTAGTACTTAAATTGAGTAAAGGTGACAGCTTGTAAATAATATTAGAAAGTAATATTTTCCCCCTTGTAAGAGCAAGTGAGTATTGGGGCAATGCTTAGAAATCCTGCCTATATATCTAGTTTCCCATTATCCTTTTACCTGTGTGTTTTAGCATCCTTGCCTGAGTCAGTTATTTTATTAGGAGTGTCAAAGAGGTTATTTTTCTAATTTTTTTTAACATTTATGATTGGCTGCCATGCTTTTGTACAAGTGAGCTTTTGCTCATCCACTAAGGCTATTTGGTTATCCTTAAACTTACTGTTTTCTTTTTGAGACAGGGTCTTACTCTTGGTCAGACTGGAGTACAGTGGCTCTATCACAGCTCACGGCATCCTCTAACTCCTGGGCTCAAGCAATCCTCCTGCCTCAGCCTCTCAAGTAGCTGGGACTATCGGCACATACCACCCATGCCTGGCTAATTTTTTAAAAATATTTTGTGGAGATGAAGGTCTCGTTGTGTTGCTCAGGTTGGTCTTGAACTCGGAGGCTCACACAATCCTCCTGCCTTGGCCTCCTAAAGTGCTGGGATTACAGGCATGAGCCACTGTGTCTGGCCATCCTTAAATGTTATACTGAGATGCAATTTTTATGGGGAAGGAGTAAAGGATTAATTCTTTTTTGTAATTATCAATTTTCAGAGTAAGGCCCCTGCGGTGTTTCTGTGTCTATTTGTCCTCAGATCTATTCATTGCCCGGAATTCCCTACCTAGGAGGTGGGCTGGGAGAGGGAGATAGGTGACCCCTACGGTTTCGCTTCCCCATCTTCTATCTCCTGATACTGGAAGACTGAAGAGAGTGAAGGTCAGAGCCAGTGTATCCCCCCCGTCTACTCCTGGGTTTCTAGGATTTCATAACTTTATTGTTTGTTCACTTTATTTTTTCTTAGTTTATAGAAAGTGATACTTTTTTTTTTTTATTTATGAGGCTGATACCAAGTTTCTTTTTAAAATAAATTTAAATAATAACTGTGATTCTTATAGGGCACAGATGAGGCAAAAATTGTAAGAAGTCCATGATCTAAAGATTAGGAAACTGTTTGAAGCAAAATCGAGTGTGGAAATCTGGACAGTGTCAGTGAGATTGAACAGAGGGACTGGATATGGGTTATTAAGAAGCTGAATAGACTTCCTATTAAATTGAAGGTAGAAAGAGAAGGGGCCGGGCGCGGTGGTTCACGCCTGTAATCCCAGCACTTTGGGAGGCCGAGGCGGGTGGATCACCTGAGGTCGGGAGTTCAAAACCAGCCTGACCAACATGGAGAAACCCCGTCTCTACTAAAAATACAAAAATTAGCCAGGCATGGTGACGCATGCCTGTAATCCCAGCTACTCGAGAGGCTGAGGCAGGAGAATCACTTGAACCCGGGAGGCAGAGGTTGTGGTGAGCTGAGATCGCGCCATTGCACTCCAGCCTGGGCAAAAAGAGCGAAACTCCGTCTCAAAAAAAAAAAAAAAAAAGGAAAGGAAGGAATCTAGGATGTTATCTGGTTTCCTGGCTTGGGTGATTATGCTTCAGTTAGAGATAGGGAATAGAAGAAAGGCACATTTTTCGTTTCTATTACTAGTGAAGAATGAGGTTCAAATATGAAGGAGAGGAGATACTAAGTCAAAACTTGCATGTTTTTTTCCAGTCATTTTAAGAAGGTACAGATGTTTAACAAGGTTAATATAATATGCAGCAATGTCTTTTGGATAATGAGCTGAAGTAGAGGAAAGTGAGCGAAAGTAGTTTCTGTGTTGGAAATTCACTAATGACCCATTTTACTCTTTTAAGCACTTGTCTGACACTTTGTGTAAAGTAGGTGCTCAATAAGAATTGGTTAACTTAAGTCTAAAAACTGGAATCTCTCTTCTGTTTCTGTGCCTGGTATGTTTCTTATTAATGTCTGTTTTCTACAGCAGTCTTTTGCTGTCTCTTTGATCGCAAGGATTATTCTTTGATTAGCAGAGTTGAAAGCTCAACTCCATAAAAAATTTTTTTCAAAACCTGATAGAGTAGTTACAGCTAGTGATTTGATTATTTTTTAATTTATCATCAAAGAGCAGACTTTTTGGGTTTTAACTAAATACTTCTATTTAGAGCCCATTTTGATGACCTAAATCAGAATTTATTACTTTTACATTTTTTATAGAATGGCTTTAAGTGTCATTGTATGTCCGAATCTCATCAGAGACAACTATTGCTGGCTTCAGAAAATCCTCAGCAGTTTATGGATTATTTTTCAGAGTAAGTAACTCAAAGAACTCTTTATCTTATAAGCTTTATTCAGTTGAACACTTAATAGATGGTTAATATTTTAAATATTGGAAGTTCTATTATTTCTTATATGTTAACATAACTGTATTCTCTCTATGCTTAGTTTTTATCTTCTCTTGAAAATTAATCATACTCTTAAGACTGTTACAAAATTATTTCTCACAACTTAGTTTTTCCTTTCTTCCACTTCAAATATACGAAGCTGTCTTTCATTCTAACACACTTGTGACAAAGAACATAGGTTCTGTGTTCAGACTTCCCAAACTCAAATCCTTCTCCATTTAAAAACTGTATGCCTTTGGATGACCTACTTATGTTTTCCTGTGGTTTATTCTCCTCATCTCTAAAATGGTGCTAAAAAGCCAGGCGAGGTGGCTCACACCTGTAATCCCAGCACTTTGGGAGGCCAAGGCGGATGGATCACAAGGTCAGGAGTTCAAGACCAGTGTGGCCAAGATGATGAAACCCCATCTCTACTAAAAATACAAAAATTAGCCTGACGTGGTGGTGGACGCCTGTAATCCCAGCTACTCAGGAGGCTGCGGAAGGAGAATTGCTTGAACCCGGGAGGCAGAGGTTGCAGTGAGCTGAGATTGCACCACTGCGCTCCAGCCTGGGCGACACAGCAAGGCTCCGTCTCAAAAAAAAAAAAAAAAAAAATTGGCACTAAAAATAGCAACCTCTTCTAAGTATTGCTGATCCTTCATAGAGTTTATATGAAGGTCAATGAATTAATATTTTATGAGTGCTTAGAAGAGTGCCTATGTTCAATTCAGATTAGCTGTTGTTACAATTACCATTGATAACCATCTTTTTGCTTGTTACCATCTCTTTCTTTCCAAACTTCTAGATATTTTGGTCCTAGGACCCCATTATACTTATAAAAAATATTGAAGACCTCAAGAACTTCTGTTTATGTGGGTTATATGTATCAACACATAGAAATCAAAACAAGTTTTTTTTAAAAAATTGGTTTATAAATTATTGAGACAGAGTTTCACTCTTATTGCCCAGGCTGGAGTGCAGTGGCATGATCTTGGCTCACTGCAACCTCTGCCTCCTGGGTTCAAGCGATTCTCCTGCCTCGGCCTCCCGAGTAGCTGCAGCTGGGATTACAGGCATGCGCCACCATGCCCGGCTAATTTTTTATATTTTTAAGAGAGAAAGGGTTTCGGCATGTTGGTCATGTTGGTCTTGAACTCCTGACCTCAGGTGATCCACCCGCCTCAGCATCCCAAAGTGCTGGGATTACAGGCGTGAGCCACCGTGCCCAGCCATAAATTAATTCTTAAAAATAATACACTTATGTGTTAAAGTTAATAATGTTTTTAATGAAAAACAAGTACATCTTCTAAATTTTAAAACATGCATTGTTTTACATCTTTGCAAATCTCTTCAATGTCTCACCTAATAGAGGCCAGTTGAATTCTTGAATCTCCGTCTGCATTTAGTCTGTTGGGAAATGTTTTGATTGAAGCACAGAAAGAAAATCCAGCCCTTGAGTTCACAGTCTAGTAAGGAAGAAAGAAAAATCCAGCCTGTACATAGATATGTAGTTGGAAGCAGAGGGAGTATTTTAATAATATTTTCAGATAATTTTCTTCCTTGATACTACATCAGAACACAATGCATGGCAGTGTCTTAAAGATTAGTTCCAGTGGGGACTCTGAAATCAGGTCAGTGAACCTTTTGTACTCTGTTACATTAAAATCCACGGGTTGTCTTTGATTTTGAGTGACTCTTATACCCCATGCATGATTTCGTAACATGCACTGGTCATTTTAAAACTTATCATTTCACTGACTTTCATAGATCTTCCCAATGGTGACAGATTTTATCAAACAATGTCATAAAATCATTCATTAATGTCAACACTGAAGTCATCAGAAACATCTTTAAAAGTATTGGGAATTATGTCAGCCTCACAGTGGCAGATACTAGTTTGAGAGTTCAGATTTTATCATTGGCAACAAATACTGTCAGTTGTTTCCCTTAATGTGACAGACACACTTTATTTTTTAGAAACTATTTGCCAAATACTCAATTTGGAATAATGGTAGTGTATGTATCAGGTATTATTTCAAATAAAAATGTTGTTCCATGAAAAAGACATTTCAGCTCACAGCTCACCACGTGCTTTTCTCAGGCCAGCTGTTGTTCAGCAGCAGAAGTGGTTCATTCATAAATTTCATTTCCTGACACACAGCGTTACACGTGAACTGGAGGGCTGACATTTGATACAGTCCTAATTCTGACTGCAAGTGTATGATGGTAAAGAACACTTGGACTGCTGGCGTGGTTTGGGATCACTGCTTGCTGCCTTGACTTTGCTAAGCTGCCAGCGAGCTTTCCCTCCATGGCTTTTATACCATCAGTGCAGATAACACGGTGACAGAGGCAACAATTGTTTATCTGTGAACCACCTCAAACCATCTCGAGTGGCACATGGTGCATGTGCTGTGCTGGAAAGCACTGTTTTGGCAAGAGCCAGTTCCACCCAGTGCCCTCCTCTCCACTCCCGTTCACTCCCCAGTCCCCTGGAGACTGACTTCTGCCCCTTCGGGGCCTGAAGAGTCCCTCACGCCTTTTCCATCTTCATCCTCCTTGATCTTTCTTCTTACCTCTTCACTGACACCCCTGTCTTTCATTCTTTCATAGTTTTCCTGCTCCTACTCCCACTGTGCATCTTTCTTCATCAACCGCTTTCCTCTCTAGCTCCTCATACAGGAAAGTTCTTCCAGATGCCCACGTGACTCCTTCCCACCCCACTGCACACGGTCTCCTGGAGTCCCGTCATTCTTTTAACTGTTACCTTTCTGTCCGAATGATTCCGAAATCTTGATGTTTATTCCTAACATCTGCTTTTGAGTTACAGATTTTTTTTTTCCCTTCCTGGGTGATCTAATCTGTTTCTGAAGGCTGTGTCAAAGTTAACGTTTCTGAAGTTGAACTCAGTATTCTCTCCACACAACTTTCTTTCTTT